TTCGCTCGAGGGAGGCCCTCCTGTTCACTGTGGAGCATGGGAAGCTGCCTTGTCCTGAGTCAGCCCCACCTGGGCCCATCTGGCCCAATATAGTCAACACTGGTGAGTCTCAGGCAGTTTTTCAGGGCCTACCTGGGGAAGCCGGAGAGCACGACTCGGGTCTTTCCTGCAAAGCAGGAGCTCCGCCACTGAGCTACAGTCCTCCTAGCAGTAAAGGAACATTCTAGTCCTCATGGTACAGAATAAATGGATGATTTAAACGGCAGCAAGGGAGGCTGCCTTTGACCGAGTCAGGCCCTGCTTGGCCCATCTGGCCCGGCGCTGGGGGCAGCGGCTCCGGCTCATCCGCCGGGATTCAGGCGGGAATCTCTCCTGCCCTGAACGGAGGATGCGGGGATCGCACCTTGGCCTCTTGCGTGCTGCCCTGCTCCACAAACAGCTGCTGACTCACTCCACTAATCCACAGTGAATCAGCTTTCTGCAGACACACAAGGGCATGCTCCTGGTTGTCGTTTGGGGGCGCGACTGTGCTCCTGCAAGGCCCATCCTCCATGCAGTAGCCCCCCTTGGGAAACAAGATGCTCTAAGACAGCCCTCCCCGCTTGTCCCCCCCCAGAGGTGCTGGCTGGGGCTGATGGGAGCTACAGTCCAGTTCTTCCGCGAGCACCAGGTGGGGCTGGCCGCTTTGAAGCCACAAGCACATCACGTCACATAAGGAAGTGCCGGGACGAAGGCGCGACCCCCAGCCCCCCCCGCCCCCCGTGGCACAGAGGCCGCCGTGGGGTGCCGGCTCAGCCACTCTCCCTGCGAGCCGCGCGCTGGGTGGGCCGGGCTGGGCGCGTCCCTGGCAGGGCGGCCTTGGCTGGCTCCCTCCGGAGCGCCCCCTCGCCTGTGCTGACGATGCTTTTGCGCGGGCTCCGAGCAACCATGGCTGTAGACTGTTACCAGCTCACATCCACACAGTAACAATCTAAAGCCACGGTTGCCCTGGAGACGCCGGATGAGTTGGCGCCACGGCGGGCGAGCGGCATCCTGAAGTCCTGGCCGCTGTGGAGGACGAGCCTGGAGAGCCGAGCCGAGCCGAGCCGGGCGGCCGGAGGGCTGCTGTGCCCGGTCCCGGAGCCGGCTCCTTCCAAGAGCGGGGCCAGCTGGCACGCCGGGGCCCGTCGGATCCGTCCATCGCGCCGGGTCCTTGCCTGCAGCCCCAGCGCCGCTGCTCCCCGAGCCATCACACGTGCCCAAGGCCCAGCCCGGGAGAAGGTGGCCGGCTGGTGCCTCCAGGGAGGGGGGCGTCCCGCAGACTCGCCCCCCTGCCCGAGCAGCCGGCTGGTCCCCAAAAGAGACAGACCGTATGTGTCAAAATTCAGCATTGCTCAATCGGGCTGCCCCCATCCCCATTCCTTCTGGGTCAAGCCACACCTGCTTTTCGACCAGGGTCTCCCTCGGTGCAATTCCCGTGCTGCCAGGACCTCCACCGCTTTTCCTGACCAGACGAGCAGAACGCCCCCCGTCTGCCGAGTCCCCGTGGCTCCTCTTTCTACCGACCTTTCTCTTGCTGATCACCTGCCCAGAAGCCTGTGGCGCTGCGAGTGCGTTCAGCTTTATTCTGCCATAACAGCTTCCATGGACTACCGCACCCATCCTACCTGGAAGCTTAGGCATATGGGAAAGAGCTGTCTACAGATTCAGCTACTGGGCCCATTCAGTCTGAGGTTCCCGCTCTGACTGGCTGCAACAGCTCTCCAAGGAGTGGGGAAGGTTTTCCGGCCATGCCTAGTGGTGCCGTGGCTCATCCACACATTGGTGCATATGCTAAGCAAGCGCTCCCTCGTTTGTCTATAGCCCTTCGCTAAAAGCAAAGCGGGGTTCCAGTCCTCATGATGCTGAATAAAGGGTCAAAATCAACAGACGCACAGAGAGCTGCCTTGTGCCACGGTCCCTGCAGACTGAGCAGCGGCGGTGCCCGCCTGGGAGGAGGGTCTCCCGCTCGCTTGGGCTGAGCTGGGCACGGGCGGCATGCAGAGCAGGGCTCTCTGGCTGAGCCCAGCCATCCACGTGGCCGCCGGCGAGCGGAGCTCTACCCACCCCCCTTCGCGCCGCCCAGGAGGGCCCCCCTGCGCGATCCCGGTCGTGGTCCTGCGAGACCCTTCGCCAGAGCATCCCGGCTCGTGGAGGCCCGAGTTCAGCACCACGGACAGCAGCCCGGCCGGCCGGCCGGCTTCCCGGCTGGGGATGCCTCTTCCCTGGAGGCAGCCCCACTGCCCACCCCACGCCAGGGGATGGGCCACGCCGGGCACCCCGCCTCCCCTCGCCCCGCAGTCTGACTTCTGCGGTGGAACCATCCAAGGATCTGGGCTGGCCCGCCGGGCTGGGCAGCTGCGGCCCACTCGCCTTCACGCCCCGAGCCAAGCGATGGAGCTACGGCAGGGCGGGCAGCCATGGGCTGGGGTCACTCCCACGGCCCGGCCCCCATCCCACAGCCTCCAGTCCGTGTGCAGCTTCCTGCCTTCCCCGTCCTGTTCCAAGAGGAGGAATCGTCTCCCGGGAGGGCACGTCACCAGCGGGAAAAGCTAGAGGCTAACCCGGGGGTGCTCGGAGGCTTTGAAAGCTGCTCTCTCCCCCACTTTCCTGAGCAATGGAGGGCAGCTCCTCTTTGCCCCCTTCCCAGGCAAGGGTGGGGGCGCCCGAATGGAAGCAGGCACCCAGACGCCTGGTTCACAGGTGAGGACGAAAGAAGAGAGAAGGGAGTCTCTGTAGCCACCTGCAAGCCTTTCTTTGCAATGAAACAGGATTTGAAAATTCTGCCCGTCGCGTCCGCCTGCACCAAGGCCCCACTTCACAGCTGGGAACAACCAGGCACAGAGTCGGCATCCCGGCCTGGACTTCCCAGGCTTCTGGGGAGTGAGGCCGGGAGCCCCCGCCCTACGCTGCGGCCCCGGCTGGTGCGACCGGCTGCATCCCTGGGTCACCAAAGCGGCCGCTGGCGGAGGAAGGAAGGCCCGGTCGGTCGTCGCTGTCAGACTTCAGTAGCCATGACTGTAGACTGTTACTGTTTCTCCCATGGTGCTTAGCAGTAAGCAGTCTAGAGCCAAGGTGCCGATGTGCTGACCTGGGCGGGAGGGAGGGGTCTCCTCGCGGTCGTCTCCCGGAGCGGGGCTGCTCTTGCGCAGGGCGGGCCGGGTCGCAGCAGCACCAGGAGCTGCAAGAAACAAACCGACAGGCGGCTCAGGGGCCACATCTCGGGGCCGCAAGGGGGGGCCCCTGGAAGAAGCCGGGGGGGGGGGTCCGCTGGCCATGCTGGAGGGTGTCCCTTCTGGCCACTGCAGCAGACTTTCAGAACAAAGTCTGAGCCCCCATGGGGGAAAGAGCGGGGGCCCCTTCTGAGCATGTCACCCCGATTCCAGGCAGGAGCAGTCTGGCTGCTTTGGGGCGGGAGAGCAAGCTGCCAGCACTGGAGGGGTCGTGGGGCATATGCATCCTGGCCGAAATCGCCAGTCACTCCGGCCCCCCACAATACCACGTTGCTGGGCCAGCATCAGCCCCTGGCAGGCAGGGGTGCCTGAAGGCCACCTCTGGCACTCAGGTAAACTGCCCCTGAACAAAGAGGCTTTGTCGGCCTCTATACATTTGCTCGCAGTAATCACCATCAGCCAAGTGCCTGAAGAAGCCCCTCGGCCCCTGCCCCCTCCCCGCCTGGTGGCCACTCCGCAGAACAGTCCTCTCCGGCCAGGCTGCCCGCAGGTGCCTTGGACCACAACTCCCAGCATTCCCTTCCTGGCAGTGCAGCCCGAGGTGGCTGGGAGCTGTAGTCCAAAATGTCTGGAGGGCATGAGGGTGGCGTTAAAGGTTGTGGGGGGGCGGGCGCTGCGGCGGCAGGCGCGGGGGGGGCTCCAAAAGAGGCGCGCATTCCTGCAAGGGCCGGAGGCGCTGCTCCCCCAGGAAAGGGCGAGCGTCGAGCAGGAACTAAAGTTCCAGCAACATGCGCTACTGGGAGCGCAGCCCCAGAAAGCGGGCGGGCCCGTCCCGGCCTCCCCCCCCCCCCCCCCGTTGCAAGGCTGGACCTGACGAGCGCCGGCAGCCCGGCCGGAAGCCCCGCAGGTGGCTGCCGGAGCCCCGCCGCCCCCGCCGCGTTGGGCGCGACTGGCGAGCAGGGCCGGGAGGGCGCAGGGGGCGAGGAGTCGCGCCCCCACCCGCCGCGAGGGCGGCTTCCGCTCGCGGGAGGCTGCCCCCGCCTCCCCCGGCCCCGGGCTGCCCCCGCTCGCGGGATGCGTGAGCCCCCCCCCCCCCGCGGCTTCCGGAGGCGGCCGCTTTGCCAGCCGCGGTTCCGGCTGCAGGTGGACGAGGCGCCCGCCCGGCCAGGTGGGCAGAGGCGAGGGGAGGGGGCGCCGCCAGGCAGGCGCAGCGCCACAGGTAGCCTCCGGGAGCGGGCGGGGGGGTCTGCGGGGGCGGGGGCGGCCCTGCCATCAGCCCTCTCCAGCCGGCGCAGCGCATCTGGGGGAGGGTCATCCGAGCCCCCTTGCGTGTTCTCCCGCTCACACGCACACGTTCCTTTTCCCACCTGCCTTGCGGGGCGGGGGGCGCCTGGGGCAGCCACGAAGCTGCTGCCTGCCCCCCTCCGCAATACTAATAATACTAATACTAAGAGCAGAAGCGGTCCTTCCTCCGTTTCCCCCTGCCTTCAGGGGCGAAGGCAGGCGACGACGCTTTCTTCCCCCGCCCCTTCTCCCCAACTTCCGCGCCCCCCCCCCCAAGCGAGTCTCGCAGGCCTCGGCCGGGCCGAAGCCCCCTTGGCGGAGGCGGGCAGGTGCCCGCGCCCAGCCGGGTCCGCCCGGCGGCTCCCCGCTCGCCGAGGGACGGGCACCTGCGCCGGGACGGGCGCCGTGGACGGGGCGGGG